GTCCTTGCCATTCTTGGTCCAGATCTGATTGAACTTTTTAAGCAATCCAGTGTGGAGAATCTCTTCGCCTTCTCCACATACTGGCCAATCTGTGAGTCCATTGGAATGGGATGCAAGTCTGGTACTGTGACATTGTTAATATTTTCATTATCTACGCATGGGCGTAAGGTACCATTGGCCTTCTCCACAAAGAGAAGTGGGGAGCATACTGGTGAGGTACGCTGAAATAATGCACCTTTAGCTATCTGTTCTTTCCCCCACACATCAAACGCTGTTTCCTCCCGTACATTCAAGGGGTAAATAGGAAAAGATATATTCATCAGATCAACGGTGAATGTGAACTCACAATCAAAATCTGAATGAGCTAGTAGCACATTTTCTGAAGATGCATCAAACGAAGATTACAGCTTTTCCAAACAGGAAGGTAAGGGTACCTCCAAAATAAGGCTTCAGCAGCGGAGCTAGACTGAGTGTGTTGACCTTGGGCCATTGGGGCAAATTGCCCTGACAGTTCGCTTCAGACATGGTGATAAATAATTCATGGCCATTCTTTAAATGTTAATGATAAGTATTGTCTTTTAAGTTGGTTCTGATGTCAAACTTTTGCCACCACTCTACTCCCAAAATAATGAGGTAAAAGAGGTTTTTGATTGTTTGGAAATGGTCAGACACAAAATTTTTGCAACTTGATAATCCACTAACCCTAGAACCTTCAGTGTGGGAATACCTTGGGAAGCCCCTCCCTAACCATAATACCTGGCAAGTAACTAAGCTCAGGATAGTCAGCTAGGTTCTGATCATTAAAATTCGCAGAGACTCAGTATCCATAAAAATTGTTGTGCTGATTTTCCCTAAAGAGAAAGAAATGGTAGAAGTCAACGAAAATATCCATAATGGCCTTTATTCATAGCAGAAAACGCAAACACCTCACCAGAAAAATCTTCATCCAGCATAAGCATGCCTCCAGGGTAAGTTTTTGCATCATAAAATGGAGAGGGATAGTTAGCCACTATTACTACTGAGGTCGCATATCCAACCATATCTTCAGAAGTTGCATAAACATCTTTATATAGTTTTGTAACTTCTTATCCACGGCTTTTGTTCTGCAGGTCAGAATAAGGTCAAGCGCGGGTCCTCTGGGGTAACTTGGTATACAGAAATGGGTTCCATGCTAAAGTCCCAGAGATGATAATTAAATTATTTTCATTAATTGAATTTGCGTTATGAAACGCGTTTTCTGGAGTTAGTGACCCCATGCCAGATTTGGTGGCCAGTTGTTAATTGTTATCCAAGGCCATCACCACCAAGCTCTTCATTAATGCTTCAGCCTGCACCGTGGAAATGTAGTGCAAAGAAAAATCATTTTTAATAATTCGTTTTTTGTTATATTCGGGTCTAGACTCTCACATACCCTCAAATTCCGCTGAATTGGGGATGGAATTAGCGGGGAGCACTGCCCTGTTTAAGGAAAAACTCTAGTTATATTGCTGTACTTTATAAGGGCTGCCACGGGTGACATCATTGTTGCAGAATATACTGAAACATTTAATTTAACTTTGGGCATGGACCCCTGCTTGCCTTCAAATTCAATTAAAAACAAAAAATTGGAAGGATAAGATTCCTCCTTTTCTAGAGGCGCACGCAGGTTTTGGGGCTAGTATTTGTAAGGGTTGCCTCAGGTGAAACAATGACAGGAAATTTAGCTGGCCCCTTCTGGGTTGGGGTGGGGAAATTGTCCCAAAAGCTGAATCAATTGATCAAAGCCAATGGAGGAAGCATAACTCATTAGAGTGTCCATCGCAGGGGCTTTCAAAATGGCCTGGAAAAATAATGGTTGGGAAACAATGGATACAGGTAAGACTAAGACACAGGGAGTTTCATGAAAATAAGGGTACACATACACCCAACACCATGGTGCACAAATTAGCCACAATAAAGCTCAGAAGCAGTGGCACAGGGTTGCCCTTCCCCTAAGGGTTGCTTTAAACTCTCTATGCTCTTGGACACCCACAACACAGTTTAATAAACTAAAACAAACACGATGGTGCCCCAGGTAGAAGCCGATGCAACCACTCAACTCCTGGAGGAGGGGAGTCAGGGCTGGTTTTATTATAACAAAAAGAAGTGGAAGGAAACTTGGAAACCCAAGCAACTGAGCTTCAAATTGTTCATACCCACCATGTACTTGCCAAAAGGGTGGAGGTAATACCGCATGCAGAAAAAAGAGAAATGACCAGCTGGCACACCGCCAAATAAGAGTGAGACAACCATAGACAAGAGCATCTTAACCATGGTGGCAACCCAAGCTCCTGAATACTACTATGAAGACCTTTTACTCAGAATAAGTTTAGGTGAGACCAAAAGTAAGATTGGTTGTCTAATGTCAAGAGCATGTATGTAACGCTACAGTTCCATTAGAGGTGGGGGTGAGGGACCACTCCCTACTAGAGAACACAACTCTGAATACAAAGTAAACAAAGTACTACCCAGAAGGACGGTGAACAGAAAGCCCCAAGCAAGGAAGCACACATTTGACTAAACTGAACTGGTATAGGTTGACAAAGCTAAACTTCATGCACATAAATTAGAAAACGAATGGGGTTTAAAAAAAACAAGACGACCAACAAGGAAAGTTAGCCTTGCAGGACTTTAATTGACTATAATGGGGAGAGTTGGCAATTATTGGGAATGTGCTAAGCCTAGGCGAACCAATAGGCGCATGCTACCCTTGGTCAGGGTCCTGTAACTCAAGATCATCTGAATACAAATTATAAATTGTAATTTGACTCAACCTGACTTAGCAATATTATAAATGGAACGGGTTCAAAATCCATGTTTCTCAATTAATCATAATGAACCGTCAGAGTTGAGGGCGTAGTTAGTGCGTTTTAACGTCCTGGCTGTAACGCTCAGCTGAGCATCATGCACATCCTAAGATCAACTTTAGCATACATTGCCTGTACCCAGCGTTAGTCCAGGGTATTTTTCAATCCAGGAAGGCCTTTTATCTGGCCTTTTTGGCCTCCTGACGACCAGCTTTGTCCCTGCAGTCTGTCCCTTTAAATTATGTCATGTAACCATGACATTTAATAAAGTATTTATATAAATTAAACCCCATTAGGGGGATATGCTCTGTTTTTCATCACGTCCCATAAGACACAAACAAGCCGGTTATTCATCTCTCCTAAAAGGTTTCACCTTTTCTGGCTATCTTCCTTTTTCTGTTTCTTGTTGTAATAGTTGACTAGTTGTATCTCTCAGAAATGCTTCCTAAACTTTCCACCAATTTTGCGTTTTATCTTATCTGCGCTTCCATAAACTCATCCAGTCCATCTTACTAATTGTTGTTGGGCTATAATTCTTTGCACTTGTCAATTTAAGGCGTGTTATGTATGAAAACACTTCTACTATCTGCTCCTGGGTATCAATCTTCCTTACTATATTGGTGATTAACACCTTCTGAAAAGATGATAGTTATGATAAAGTAGCTCCTAGTTTTTTTGACCTTAGAATTTGTGGTTTCTTTGTTTTTATGTGTCAGTAAGTTTGTAACCTTGTAATAGCTAGTTTATAAATTTTTCAGTTTTTTTTTGCATTAAATGCATTGAAAATATAGACTAGTGCTTGAAAACTAGCAGTACAGTGAAAATTAGTCATAGAAGGAAAATCAGTCATCTTAATATCAGAGCCAACTGTTTTAAAAATAGTCTTGTTTAGCTTTTATAGTTATATATGGGGTTTTATGGATAATTGTCTTTGTATATAATGTAAAGCGTTTAGATTCTTGTTTCATTTCTTTGATACTAAAAATCTATAGCTTGTTGGATATGCTTTTTTTTAATGAGCAATAGAATATCACAATTTGGGTTAGTGTGTTGGTATATGTGTCTGACACAAGTCCAGGTGTAATATACTTGGTATTTTTGCATGACGAAAACTTCATTTAAAATACAATTATATAATTAGAAAATTATCTTTAATGTATAATTGGCAAAAAATATAATATTGGATTAAGAGTACTAACAGTGTTTGTAGGGTATCCAATTTCCAGTTGATTTTTCTTGTAATCTCATTCATACTCCAAGGTAGAATACAACGTATAGTATATGTCATAATTTTAAGACTTGAATAAGCTCACTAAACTTGCAATTTGTTTCTATGTCCCCTTCCAGGATGTTTTTACCTAGTTATATACTCCATAAGTATTAAGGAATTTATCAGCTGTGAGATTGATACTGGTATTTTTTAAAATAGTTTTAAAACCTTATAGTAGGCCCATGTACAATTAGCTTTGAGATAACTCGCAATTAGGGCAATTTTATAGTTGTTAATAATGATTCATCTAATTAAAGAAGGCAGAATTTAGACTAAAGAATTATAGATTGTGGTGGCTATTTGCTACTAGTAATGTATAGACATTTCTTACAACAAGTCAACGCAGTCACACCAGCTGGTTTTAACAATTTCTTTACTTTATATTAGATAATTAAAAGTATAATAGATAAGATATTTTTGAGTCAAATACTTATGTTCAGTCAAAAATATAAAGTTTTTGCCATATTACAATATTTTTAATATGTTTTACATACCAAGTTCTATATTGAAGATAACTGAGATTCTCTGATGTGATCCTGAACATAATCTTGTAACCAAGAGGCAAAAAGGTCAACCTTTTAATATTCTAACACCTAAATTTTTGCCCTGATGGTTTGCAACCAGAATCCACTGCTACTTAGATCAGGGATGCTTAAGGAGGATAGACATTGGTAAAACTTATACAATAAACTGAACAGATATACTTTTTCTGAGGTACACAGGGTATTTAATTATAGAGGTTTTGTCTATTTTGAAAGAACACTTGATCCTATCTAATGAGCTTCAGGACAAGATAAAAAGGCAAATCATGATCACGCGCTAGCAGAACATACCAGAAATTAGAAAAATTCATCCAATCTTATGAGACTATCATATATTAACTACATAGATCAGTAACAATAAGGGGGTGGAAGGCAAGTTGGTAGGGCGTATGGCTACCAACCTGAAGGTGTGGGTTCAATTCCCACCCTTCGTACATTGATTGGGGTGCCAGCCAAAGGAAGCTATTGGCGGTTAGTAGGTCTAATAACACGAAAACCTTACCCATGATGTAACCAGAAAAATTTGAGTCCCAAAATAGAGGTGGAAAAACTTTCTTTAATGGAGTTGACCCTGTTCAGGTTTCATGTCATTTCTTTCATTTCTTTCTTTTGGTAATGCCTGTCCCCTGGTCGGCTTGCCTCAGTTAAATAAATCAGTAATGATCAATTTGAAGCCAAGTATCAGCTGCAGTAAGACAAAGCTTGTTGACTAAAAGTTTTTTTAATCATTAAAGCTCCTTCAGGTAGAATCAGGACCAAGGACCAAAGCGCTATATAAATGTTTATTTTGTTGTAGGCTTACCAACCCTAAAAGTTTTGATGCTACACTAGAAGTATTTGTCAAGAGAGTGTCTGTAACTCTCTTGTTCCTAGAGAGGTGGTGCGGGATGCACAACCACACCGCCAAGAACAAGCAGTTAGCAAAATTGGAAAGAGGGCACTGAGGAGGATGCCAGAGAAAAAGGGACCTATGGCAAGGGTGTACAACACGGTGTATAATAGTAAATACCAAAAAAAACAACAGAACCTGGTTGGACCCCAAAGGGAGATCCATAACCAGATGGAGATTGGTGCTAGGGTGCTGTGGTGCCTCGATCTGGAGGGGACCAGGGTGGCACAAAGGTGCACCAGATACAGTAGTAATTTGGATAAAAGAAAGTGGCTAATACTGTTGGAGACCTCTTTAAAGAGGTCCATGAACAGGTTCTCCAAAGAACCATTAAAATGTAAATTTAATGGATAATTTTAATTAGGAGATTGACTAAAGAGGAAAGATGGTCACAGAGAAACATACTTAATCAATGGGGTATTTGTCAGTTGGCGGAAGTGGTGCTAAGCCTAAGTTCACCAATAGGCGCATGCTACCATTAGCCTGGGTCCTGTAACTTGAAATTGAACAAACTCAAGTTATGGATTGTAATTGAACTAACCTAAATTGGTAATATTAAAATTAAAATGGGTTTCAAAACCTTATCCTCAAGAAAATGTAACAAACATTGGTATTTAGAACGTAGCTGATGAATTTTAACGCCCTGTCTGTAACGCCAGGCTGAGCATCAAGCACATTCCCAGGATTAACCTGGGCATATTTTGCCTATACCCAGCGTTGGTCCAGGGTAATATTAAGGTCAGGAAGGCCTTCCAATTTACCCTTTTTGGCCTCCTGACGTGCAGCTTTGTCCTTAAAATTGGTTCCTTCAATTATGTCATGGAGCCATGACAATAGTAAACTGATAAACTAATATGTCCAAGTTTTTTCTATGGCCCAGATAGTCTACAAAGAACTCTGACATCGTGCCCATTAACACAAATCTTTGTTATACATGGGTTACTGGAAGCCATGATATCTGACTGAGATCTCAATTTATCTCAAAAATTAAGACAAATTAGTAAACTAAAATAAAGTACTAAATTTATAAATATATTAAGTGCAATACAAACAGTTAACAATATTGAGTTTATAAATCATGTTTAGCAGTGCCATGCTTGATCTGTGTCAGATTACAAGATTACTAACTAAATAAGGCTTTCAAATATTCTTGAAGCAACTATGATGACTCAGAGGCTAGCTTCTCTGATTTTATGACACACTTTAATAATACATCCTCTGTCACTCTTTGGTACACACAAGGAAGACTCCAGTCTCAGGAGTCTTGATTTTTAAGTTGAAGAAGGTTCATAATATACTTTTATAAAATTATTTGCAAAGACTTATGAGATTGATGCCAAGTGGAACAGACTACAAATTTTTTAAGAATGATATTGTTCTTATTTTGAGAACTTCTCTAATTCTACAATCAAATTATAAGAACTGAGCCATTGCCAAAGAGGCCTTACAATAGGATTAAAGTGATGGATATTATCTCTTCAGATCCAAAGCCCATCAGTCAGTAAGGTATAGCAGTACTTATCAATTTTAGTGTTTTTTAGTTTTAACGGACATCTAAGCAACCTTATTGTTCATTGTGGCTATTTTTGGCGTTATCAGCACTAATTTTATGAGTTTGTACTAAGAACATGAGATGATTTTACAACAGTAGATATGATATAAGCTTTCCTTCTATATTTAATCAGTACTATAATAATTATTTCATAACAGGTAGAGGTGGATAAAAATACTTTTTTAAATCCAAGATTTTTTACTTAGTTCTAATATACACTTATAGCATTGAATAATAAAATAAAATTTATCTGGCGTATTAGCTAAGTTTATTTATCAAATATAGGGTTTTTATAACCAGAAGTAAAAAAAATCAATAATATGAAGAGATAGTTGGAAGTTTTTAATTTATAGGGGTTTTAAGGTAAAGTTAAGAATTGGAACACAATATACTTCAGTCTGTAATCATCACATGATAATTTGATGGGCGGATGCTTTTTGGCTTTATTTAACGCTCTTAATATTCTTGATGCGTTCAGACCATCTGAAGTAACTGTTTTGAATTCTTAAATTCTACTTCTTGGGTCCACTGAGGTGTCCTTCCTAGCAGTATTATACTCACATAAACGTATTTTCTTCATCCATCAAGTTCAATAGCCATACTGCTAGATTCATTTGGCTAGCCACATTATACTCTGTGAAAATTTTACATTCAACCTGCTGCCATCAATTTTGTTTTCATTTATCCATAAAAGCTAATTTTATAGTCAAATATATTGTTGTTTTTATCCATAGTCTCATAGCTTTAAAAAATTTTACAATTTTATTCATATTAACTATATTTTTCAAATTGTTCACCTCATCAGATCCTCATACACTTTTTTATCTTACCATGTCAGACTCTCCATGAACCTCATGGTTCTCTAACGCTTTCCTGAAAACTTTCCCTAATTCCTTCTTTGATGAAATCTATATTGGTAACAGCATCTGACTATGTGACACTTTTTAAGGGGTAGTTTATGGGGAAACTTAATGTAAAGTTAATTTTTATTATTTTGTTGTAAGCTGAAAACTCGGCGTTTGGCAAAGAAGTTTGGTCCATCATCATGCCGGAATATCATGAAAATCATCTGTAGACTGGCCAACTTTCTTGAGCCCATTTCTGGATACTATATCCATGAGAGTTTCCCTTTACTGGGGTGATAAAAAATATTTTGCCATCAAAATTTAGTTCATCAAAAATTAAGCTAGAACTTTTTAATCTGGCTTAGGTAAAAGCACAGTTTGGTACAGGCCAATCTTTTTCAGCAATTTTTTATCAAATCTGGAGTTTCATGAAGTTCAGTTTAGCTTAATTTTATAGGGAATCTTGATTATAAAACTTATACTTTTAACTTTAAGTAATATTTAAGCCTTTCTATTCATATATACTAAGCTCTTATCCTCTTCTGTATTGAAGATGGCGAGGGCAACCAATACTTGAGTTGTGTTAATCCAATTCTCATTTGAACTTATATAGAAAACTTTTTAAAACGATACTAAATTTGTACATCATTTATACGGTGATGGTTTGTGTCTGGACTATAGAGTACTTTTTCTTATACTTTATTGCATCACATCAAACATGTTAGAACCGTCTTTTTAGTAAATCTTTCAAATGGTTCAAAGATTCACATATCAACGCTGTTATAACATAAGCTATATTATCATATACTACTTAATTTATAATATAAGCTTTTAAAATATTGTCTACTATATATCAGGGACATTTATAGGAAAAGTGTCCCTTTTAAAATAATTATAAGACTGTTTTTATTCTAGTGTTATATTTAAACTTGGTTACCCAAATCATATAGTTTACATCTATAGAATCTTATCAATAAAGTAAAAAGGCTTTATCAACTATCACCTCTTATTTTAACAAACTCTACTTAGCAATAATTATCCCATAGCTTTATCCTTAGACCTTACTGAGCTTATGGTATACTGTGTAATATTCTTATCACATTAAAAAGCCTCTCATACTTTTGTACACTCTTCTAAGCTGTTTAATCTGTATTATAACTGGTTTTCCACCCAAGATAGCAATGTTACTACAATCAGTGACTTAAGTGTTGTACCTAGGTCGGTCTTTATATATATTTATAGATGACTTAAATCATATCTGATGACTTATATATCATTACCGACCCTTATCTATATTCACAGCATTATAATAACCTATAGTCCTATATGCCAGAAATGTGGCAGAGAAAGAAAAGAACGCCTATGTTATATATTGGTTGCAGAGAAAATTAAACTGGGTTTCAGATTGGGGTGATCCAGAACCCAATGGAGAGCCCAGCACGCCAGGGGCTCCACAAAATGTAAAATTGTGAAATGGGAAGCTTTAGACATAATTGAGAGAGAAAATAGTCCAAAATATAGAAAAGAAAAATAAGCTATAAGGATGTTTTTGTGGCTGCTTTGGGTCTCATGGGGAAGCCTTCAGGTATGGGAGGCAGAAGATTATAACTCTCCAATTCTGTGGCTTCAGGACTTTTGTAATAATAGAGGCTTAAATGAGTTTAGTAGCCATGGTTCAGGTTAATGGATAAGCATATTGAGTTACCCACTAAAAGATGGACAGGAGTAGGATTATTAAAAATGGACTTCACTCAGGCGTAATTGAAAACATAATATAGCTTTTGTGGTAATAATTTTATTGAAGGACAAGATATGTGGTGATAAATAGCAAATACAGAAAATAGAGTTGTTGAGCGGATAAGTTGTAACAACTTGACATGAAATGGCCATGTGTTGAAGACAATGCAGCTGATAAAATAGCTTTTTTAATTTAGGATGTCTCACTGCTATTTAAAAGTGAAGATAGAGTGCAAAAGGAAAAGATAATGAGAAAAAGGCACTAGATGGAAATGATGGAGGGCACAAGCTTTATTAAATATGTTTAGGGGATAAGAGTATCTAATATATTAATAGTCATAACATTGGCAGTTGCCTATGTTTAACTAACCTATGAAAATCTTCAGGTTTTTATGTTCCCCAGATAAATAAAG